CTGTTCCCTCTGTCCCCTCTGTCCCCCCTGTCCCTCTGTCCCCTCTGTCCCCGCTCTGTCCCCTCTGTCCCTCTGTCCCCGCTGTCCTCTCTGTCCCCTCTGTCCCCTCTGTCCCGCTGTCCCCGCTGTCCCCGCTGTCCCCGCTGTCCCCAGAGTGCCACCTGCTGAGGGGACAGGCGCTCGCATTCCCCGTCCCGGGCCGGCTTCGCTGAGCCCGGAATCTGCCCCTGGGCGGCCGTGAGCTTTCCCGGGAATTCTGCTTTCCCGGGAATTCTGCTTTCCCGGGAATTCTGTTTCCCCGGGAATTCTGCTTTCCCGGGAATTCTGCTTTCCTGGGAATTCTGCTTTCCCCGGGAATTCTGCTTTCCCGGGATTTCAGTTCCCCTGGATTTCAGTTTCCTGGGATTTCAGTCTCCCCGGATTTCGGTTCCCCCGGATTTCGGTTCCCCTGGATTTCAGTTCCCCGGGATTTCAGTTTCCGGGGATTTCTGTTTTCCCGGATTTCAGTTTTCCCGGGATTTCAGTTTCCCGGGAATTCTGTTTCCCCGGAATTCTGTTTTCCCGGGATTTCTGTTTTCCCGGATTTCAGTTTCCCGGGATTTCAGATTCCCGTGATTTCTGTTTCCCCTGGATTTCTGTTTTCCCTGGATTTCAGATTCCCGGGATTTCAGTTCCCCAGGAATTCTGTTTCCCGGGATTTCTGGTTTCCCTGAATTTCAGTTTCCCGGGATTTCTGTTTTCCCGGGATTTCTGTTTCCCGGGATTTCGGTTCCCCGAGATTTCAGTTCCCCAGGAATTCTGTTTTCCCGGGATTTCAGATTCCCGGGATTTCAGTTCCCCGGGATTTCAGTTTTCCCTGGATTTCAGATTCCCGGGATTTCAGTTTTCCCGGGATTTCTGTTCCCCGGGATTTCAGTTTCCCGGGATTTCAGTTTCCCGGGATTTCTGTTTTCCCTGAATTTCAGTTCCCCGGGATTTCTGTTTTCCCGGGATTTCTGTTTTCCCTGGATTTCTGTTTCCCAGGAATTCTGTTTCCCGGGATTTCTGTTTTCCCGGGATTTCAGTTCCCCGGGATTTCAGTTTTCCCGGGATTTCAGTTTCCCAGGAATTCTGTTTCCCGGGATTTCAGTTTTCCCGGGATTTCAGTTTCCCAGGAATTCTGTTTCCCGGGATTTCAGTTTTCCCGGGATTTCAGTTCCCCAGGAATTCTGTTCCCCGGGATTTCAGTTTCTCTGGATTTCAGTTTCTCTGGATTTCAGATTCCCGGGATTTCAGTTTTCCCGGGAATTCAGTTCCCCAGGAATTCTGTTTCCCGGGATTTCTGTTTTCCCCGGGATTTCAGTTCCCCGGGATTTCAGTTTCCCGGGATTTCTGTTCCCCGAGATTTCAGTTCCCCAGGAATTCTGTTTCCCGGGATTTCTGTTTCCCGGGATTTCAGATTCCCGGGATTTCAGTTTTCCCGGGATTTCTGTTCCCCAGGAATTCTGTTTCCCGGGATTTCTGTTTTCCCTGAATTTCAGTTTCCCGGGATTTCAGTTCCCCAGGAATTCTGTTTCCCGGGATTTCTGTTTCCCGGGATTTCAGTTCCCGGGATTTCTGTTTTCCCGGGATTTCAGTTTCCAGTTTGAAATCCGGGCACTGCGCCGTTCGCTGGGGCCTCTCTCCCAGGAATATTCCCAAATTCTGGCCCTGCCCGTCCCTCCCCAGGGGCTCTCCCGCAGCAGATCCCGGGGCGCCTTCCCGAACTCCGCGGTGTCGGATTGAAGGGTTTGGCACCCCGGAGGTGACAGCGCCACCGCAGCCACCCCAGAGGCGGGAACTGCTGGGATTCATGAATTAATTAATCCCAGGAATCCAATTAGGAGATTGGCCTCCGAGATAAGAGATGGCAAAGCCGCCCGAGGCTGCCACGGGGCCCGGCAGCTTCCCGAGGCAGCGGGGAGAGGAGATAATCCCACCCCGGCTCTCCTCCCGAGGCAGCGGGGAGAGGAGATAATCCCGCCCCGGCAGCTTCCCGAGGCAGCGGGGAGAGGAGATAATCCCACCCCGGCAGCTTCCCGAGGCAGCGGGGAGAGGGGATAATCCCACCCCGGCTCTCCTTCCTCGCCCCCGGAACCCCAAACCGCCTTTGGGAAATCAGCCGGGGCGGATCTGTGGCCCGGGTTGGGTCCCGAAGCCGGGAGAGCGGCTGGGAGCGGGAAAGGACAGCCCAAAACACGGCCCGGGGTGCCGGGTGTCACCAGGGCCGGGGGACAGCGGTGCCGGGGCTCTGCGGGGCCGGGGACAGCGCGGGGACACGCGGGGATAAACCCGGGACAGAGCGGGGATAAACCCGGGACAGCGCGGGAACAGAGCGGGGATAAACCCGGGACAGAGCGGGGACAGAGCAGGGATAAACCCGGGACAGAGCGGGACAGCGCGGGGACACGCGGGGACAGAGAG